CAACATGCTATGGGGTGTGATCCCGCTTATGGCGTCAAATCAATTACGTTCTAAGAAGAAAGATTTGAAAATAAATTTTCATCGATATCATCGATCTCATAAGTATCCATCCCAAATCCCATCAATCGAATCACTTTTTCGAGAAATACGAGACATCTAAGTCATACAAGTAAAGAGATCTATTCATTGATAAGAAAAAGAAAAAAAACGTGAGCGGTGATTGGATTGATGATAAAAATAGAATCCTGGGTCGCGAACAGTGATTCGATTGATGATAAAGAAAGAGAATTCCTGGTTCAGTTCTCCACCCTTAAGCGCAGAAAAAAGGATTGATCAAATTCTATTGAGTCTGACTCCTAGTCCTTTATCCATCATCATTGTCACCATTATTATCTTATAATCTTCAACATTAGTTTTCAACATTATATCTTCAACATTATTGATTAAATCTTCAACATTATAAATCATTGATATTTTTATGGTTGTAATTTTATTTTTCCATTGTAATTTTGATTCTTGTCAGAATTTCTTCAAAAATAGATTATTTAACTAATTTGTCTTCTTTGTTATCATATATCAAATTAAAATTATTAGAGTGTTATATATTTTTGGAAAAAAGAAATCAAATAGGACCAGCTTAGATTAATCGAATCGAATTGAGACCAAAAACAAAAAAGCTAACGGTAATATAATCAAACTCGGCGACGTAATACATACGAAATGTATACCTCAAACGTGCGTAATGGATGCAAACTTCAAGTAAATATATCTAGAATCAAAGCCACATAAACATTCAAAAAACAAAATTAGTCAATCTTTTAGCAGAGAAGAACAAACTACAATAAAAATTAAGCGAGGATGCAAGAACGTAAAAAGTATGGAGTACAAAACCTATATATATAGACAGCTAGTACTAAGAAAAACCTTAACTACATACAACAAAGAAAAAGGTACTCTGAAACACGAAAATGTGGAGTACAAGACCGATATTTATACCCACAAATCAAATTAGTTTCATCTATTTTTTTTCTTTCACAAAACCTAATCCGGCCAACTCTCGTAAACACAAAACTGATATTCGATAAGTTTAAAAATCATAAGAAGTCGATAATCGGTATTCAGTTAAGAAATTAAACCACTCGAAACAAAGAATAAATTAATTTCAGTTTGTTACGATTTTGGTTTGGTTTAAATAATTCGATTCATTTTAAGTGAATTTTGAACCAATCAAAATAATAATAAAATAATTTTGGTTCATTATAATTTTAGTTTAATTTAAATAAATTTGGTTTGTTTTAAGTAAAACTTAAAAAAAAAAATTTGAGAATGTTAAATTTTTTTTTTCGGTTCTGTTTTGAAAATACAAATAGGTTCGATTTAAGTTAATTTACGATATATAAATAAAATTTAGGCAATACTTTTTAAATAATAACACTTAAACAAAATGCTTTAGAATTTGTTGTGGAGCTTGATAACTCAGTGAATCACTAGACAATTAAGTGTATTGATTGATTGTGGAATTGTGGTCCATAATATTTTGTTATAAATTTTTTTTTTCAACATATGATTTAGTCACTGTCATATGATTCATTTATTGATTTCAGTATACAAAAGTTGATTCATCCATCATAAATTAATGATGATTAATTTTAAATACACATCCACAACAATTACATAACAAACATAAAACAAAAAAAAACGATGAAAAAGTGAATTTTCATTTTCATGATGCTTTAGATACCAAAATCTTACATGCCAACCGGTTTAGTAAACCATTTTTTTTTTTGAGAGGCCGAGTTGAGGCTCTCTCTCTCTACTCTCACTCTAATCTTTCAGAAGGAGAGAGCTATGTCTTTTTTTTCCCGATCAATATCGGATATGATCTTCGACTACTTTTTTGCTTGCTTTATATTTAGTCGGATAATAAAGTTTTTCCGTTTATCGGATATGCTTTTCCGGCTAAGACCGGACTTGTCTCTCTCTTGCAGATATGCTCTGTCTCTTTGAGGCGATAAGATTCAGATCTGATCGATGATGATGAAAACTTCTTCTCCAAAAAATGGTATTGTCTTCTCTTGGCTGCGAGTCTACTCCCTTAATACCCTATTTGAAGAGCCTTTTAAGGCGGAGGGTGAGGTCATGAGGTGTGATGATCGAAGCTTAATTTTACGGAGGTAGAAAGATTTCAACCACTTGGGATCTGGTTTGATTATCTGCAGAAGAAACTATAACGGTGGTACACAAGCATCATCGTGAAGTTGGAGATTGAAGTGTTGTCGGCGGCAAGTTCCGGCACACCAGAAACTAAATCGGAGATGCATGACGGTTTGAACTTCATCTTGACACGTGGCATTGGGTGTTTATTGTTCTTACATGTGTCTATGTATGTGTCTAAACTAATCGTCTGTATTTGGGCCGAAGTAGGCCTAGTTTGTACCAACGTTTCAACCCTTTTGGGTTTCATTATAAAACGAACGAAAAAAAAAGTAAACCGTTTCTTTATTTCTCCAGAATCAAAATCATTCAATCCCAAAGATGGTCATTTTTTTATTATCAAGCAAAAACTCACACTCGGCCAGAACAATCCCACAAATGGCTACCAAACTACCACCGATACTACTCGTCGTCTTCCTCTTCTTAATCACCGGCGTACAAATAGCCACCACGGATGAGCCGATTCCATCCCCATGGCAACATCAGTTCCACGCGCTTCTGTTCATGAACTACTCCGGCGACCTCTCGATGATCGACCTTTGGTACGACTGGAAAAACGGTCGCAATTTCAACATCATCCAGGAGCAGCTCGGTGGCATCACCTACGACCTTGAATGGAACAATGGAACCTCTTTCATCTACTCGCTCGACGAATCAAGATCTTGCCGCTCTGCTCAGCTCGAGGTCGGTTATTCGATCTGAGAATACCCTTTTGGGCTGTAGAACTCGAATGGGAATTTAGCGTATGATTTCGTAATTTCTGTTTCGATTCTGTGATTCACGGAGAAATTAGAGCCAGAAAATCTAGAGATTGCTCCAATTTTAAGCTAGAGGGTGAAGTTATATAGTTGTCTTGTTGGTTTGAGCTTTTCAATTTTCAGTGGGAAATTGAAATAAATAAAAAAAACCTTAAGCCCGTTCTATAGTTAGTTTAAGTTTGTTCAAAACGAAGGTCTCTGCAGATTTCAAGTTTGTTCCTTTTTTGTTACTTACTACTTAGTACTTCTCCATCACTTGGGTCATTTTGTTTCTCAAACTTGAAGTGTTTGTGGCATTTCCTTGCTACACTGAAGCGTGCAGCGCGTAATTCTGATTGTGACCAATATTCTTTGTGCTTTGTATCATAAACTCTCATCTCATTTGAAGTTAGCAAATGACTCTGGTGATTGTGATATAGTCATTTGCTGAAGAGTAGATTAGGATTCTGTAGTAGAGAGTAACTTTTTGCTGAATAGACTTGGGATTTATGTCGAATAAGGTTGGGATCCTGCGACCAAACTGGCTAGATGGAGCAAAGTATCTAGGTCAACAACATGTGAATGGGTTTCTCTGCAATGTATGGGAGAAAGTAGACTTTATATGGTACTATGAGGATGTTGAAACCAAGAGACCCGTGCAATGGATCTTCTATACAGGTGATTCGATCGATACTATTGCTATGTCATTGTTGTCTACTTTAACATGAAATCTCGGTTATTTTCATCTGAAATGAGTGAAAAATTGTTGCAGGGAGGGAGGCTCATGTGATGACATTCGAGGTTGGTGCGGTTCTAGAGGATGAGAAATGGCAAGCACCTCTTTATTGTTTCAACAAAGAGAAGAAGAATTTATCATCTAGAGAGGGAGGTTTGAGAGAATTTAGAGGATACAAAGAAAAGGCTATTTTGTAATTCTCTTTTCTAGGATCAAATTAAGAAGGGTGAATAAATGGGATTTATGGTTACTTGTAGACCGGTGTTCTGTAGTCAGATTCTATATGTTTTTATTTAGAAAAATGAAAAATGTTTACCCCCTAAAAATAAGCTATTTGATGCCAATTTATTCTTGGTCCATGCTCTTTTAACAATTGGTTGACCTAAAAACCAAAGTAGAGTATTTGCTGCTAGGAATGTTGTTTGGTCTCCACTCATACCTATCTTCTGCGGTAGGAAGAGTAATAGTTGATACCTGAATGTGCGTACTTGTATCATCAGATAAGTAAAGAACATATGGCTTTTTACCGATGATAATATTTAAAATTTGTTGACAAAAACAAAAGATTTGGTTTGAATACATTTTACATAAGACCTTTCGAAATCTTAACTAATAAATGCATCGCCGACCAAAAAAAGAAAAACTAAAAATGCATCATTGAAATTAACGAAAACCTAAAAAGCAAAGAAGGCCCAGAAGAAGAAGGAAATATTTAGCTTGTGAATAAATGGGATTTTTGGTTACTTGTGAACCTTAATAATCTTTGTAGACCGGTGTTCTGTAATCAGACTTTTTTTGTTTCTATTTAGAAAAATGAAAAATGTTTACCTCCTAAAAACCAAATTATTGGCTGCTTGGAATGTTGTTTGGTCTCCACTCGTAGATCTTTTGCAGCAGAAAGAATAATAGTTGATACCTGAATGTGTATACTTATGTATCATCAGATAAGTAAAGAACATATTGCTTTTTACCGATAAGATATAAAAAATTGTTGACAAAAACAAAAGATTTGGTTTGAATACATTTTACATTTAGACCTTTCGAAATCTTAACTAATAAATGCATCACCGACAGAAAAAGAAAAAACTAATAATCACTGTGATTGAAATTAACGAAAACCTTAAAAGCAAAGAAGGGCCAAAAAAAGAAGGAAATATTTAGCAAAAAAAAAAAGAAATTGAAAAAAATTGAAATTTACGAAAATCTAAAAACCAAAGAATGCCCAAAAGAGAAGGAAATATTTAGCAATCAAAACAAAAAAAGTGAAAGAAATTTCCTTTTTTCCTATGTTTCTCTTAACAAAAACGTTAACCCTCTTCTATATAAACAGAAGAAAACGTAAGAGAAATAATAACCTAAAATCTTACAAATTCTCTCTTGTCTTCTTCAATCGTCAATTTTAAGTTCCCTACTTCGAATTCTTGTGTTTCTGCTTTCTCTAAGAAACAATGGCGACTGCAACGAGCGACGACCACCAACAGAGACTAATCTCATCTTTCATAGAGATCGCTGTTGGTCAAACCATTGAAACCGCTCTACAATTCCTAAAGGCAACAAGCTGGAACCTTGAAGACGCCATTAACCTCTTCCTCGTCCATGGACAGAACCAAACTCTGTCATATCCGCAAAACTCATCAGAGCAGTATTGGAGTGATAATCAAGAAGAAGAACAAATCCATCCTCCTTTACCTTCGATTAGAGATACTCTCTACGATTCTTCTTCCATGCATCATCAAACTACGGTCCAAGTAGGTCCCGAGGAGATCTGGGACTTGAAACAAGAACCGTCTGATTCGGGATCTGTTGTTGGATCAGAAGGTTCGAGATTGTCTACTTTGTACCGTCCTCCTCTGAAACTTCTTTTCCAAGGCTCGTTCGAAGACGCGAAAGCAACTTCTTCTAGACAGAATCTATGGCTGCTAGTGAATCTCCAGTCCACGACCGAGTTTGCTTCTCACATACTTAATCGAGATTTATGGTCAAACGATGTCGTTTCTCAAGCCATCGAGTTTAGCTTCGTCTTATCGCAAGTCTACGATGATACCAACGAAGGACAGAAAATCTCTACTTTCTACAGAATCGAATCTCTTCCTCCTGTGGTGCTTCTCATCGATCCAATCACTGGTCAGAAGATGCGTTCGTGGAGCGGCGTGATCGAAGCTAAGAGTTTTCTCGAGGATTTGGTGAAGTACATGGATTCTGGTCCTCACGAACACAATGCTTCTCTGACAAGCAACAAACGCATAAAAACAGAGAAGGTTTGTTACGAAAGCGACCAGACTTCTACTTGTCAAGACATGTCTACTTTCTGGGACAACTTCTTTGAAGAGTCAAGCAACAACATTGATCACATCCTCTTCGAGTCTGTGGAGGATGACACTTTCTTAGGGTTTCCAGTTTTGACTGAAGAGCCAAAAGGTGACTGCGATCGAAGCGTTGTGTGCAGTCTCTGCATTCGTTTTCCAGATGGGAGAAGAAAGCAGAGGAACTTTCTAAAGACCGAACCGGTTCAGCTTCTCTGGTCTTTCTGCTATTCTCAGATGGGGGAATCCGAGAAAAAGGCGTTTAAATTGGTTCAAGCGATTCCTGGTGCTTCCAAGACTCTGGATTATGGAGCTAACGCGACTTTTGACCAGTCTGGTCTGGCTAATTCATTGATCTCGGTTACTTGGGAATGAAGATTTCGAATCTGTTTTTGAAGTAATTATGAAGTAATTTTTAGGTTCTTGTAATTCTAAACTTTTATTTCCCTGGTCAATTCGAATTTAATTTCAAATTTGTAATCTTCATTCACAACACAAATCACTCTCCCCCCATAATATTAACTTTCTGTTTCATATGTCTTTATTAAAATGTGATGAAAGAAATACATAGATTCTTAATCAATAGCGAATCTGGTGATAAATCAAATAAACAAAACCATCAGTTTGTTTCTTTCAACTTCGAAATTGTTTCTTTTGCAATTTTGATTAAGGTCATTAGTAATCTCAATAACACCTCGTCAACTAAATCTGTTTCAGAGCACGATGGTCCAAATTGTGAGAAATTGGAGGGTCTTGAAAACTACTATGGTGTGTATAAATTAGCGAATAGTGGTAGAAATTTCTTTTTTTATTATTCTACCCATATGGATTATACTTACGAAATAAAACACTTTTTATTTATTTTAATTCAAAATTAATTACTAATTTAAATTGGATAGTTTAATATTCAGTGATTTAGATTAGTTACGATTTTTGCTTGATTTGTTTTTTAAAATGATGAAGAAAATTTATTTTCCAAGATTTGATTTTGATTTTGTCAAGATTTTAAGTACTCCCTCTATTTTATAATAAGTGTCATTCTCATACATTTTACACATATTAAGAAATTAATAAAATATACAAATATATTCTTAATTAATATAATTTTATAACATTTAATTACAAAGACTATTATCTTTAAATGAGGGATAAAACAGAAAATAAGAGTAAAAAATTATATTGAAAATGCAGAATGACACTTTTTTGAAACAAAAAATGAAATATAAAACGACACTTATTATGAAACGGATGGAGTAATAATTAAATTTCAATTCATTACAAATTTTCTTTATTTTTTTACGATGAGGAAAACAGTTTCCTAGATTTTAGCTGTTACGAAGTATCCTAATTTTTTTTTTAATTATCGTTACCAAAAAGAAAAAAAAAAGTATAAAACGGTGTGCATCCCCAAAAAAAAAAGGAAATCAGCAACCAAAACAAAAAGTGAGGGAATCAGAAAAAGGAAAAAAAAAACCTAGTGTTAGCCCCTCTCTATATAAACATAAGCAAAGGTAAGAGAAATAACCTAAACTCTCACAAATTCTCTCTTGTCTTCTTTCTTCTTGCGTTCCCTCAAAATCTCGTTTCTCTCTCTCACAAACAATGGAGACTACAACAAGTGACTTACACCAACAGAAACTAATCTCAACTTTCATGGAGATCGCTGTTGGTCAAACCAAAGAAACCGCACAACTATTCCTAAAGACAACAAACTGGAACCTTGAAGAAGCCATTAACCTCTTCCTCATCGATAGAAAAAACAAACCTCTATCATATCATAACTCATATTTGAGTGATTATCAAGAAGAAGAAGAAGAACAAATCCCTCTTCCTTTATCTTCGACTAGGGATACTCTCTATGGTTCTTCTTCCATACGTCGAACTCCGGTTCAAGTACGACCTGAGGAGATCTGGAACTCAAAAACAGAACCGTCGGATTCGGATTCCGATTCTGTTGTTGGATCAAAAGAATCGAAATTGTCTTCTTTGTACCGTCCTCCTCTGAAACTTCTTTTCAAAGGTTCATTCGAAGACGCGAAAGCAACTTCTTCTAAAAAGAATCTATGGCTCCTAGTAAATCTCCAGTCCACGACCGAGTTTGCTTCTCACATGCTTAACCGAGATTTATGGTCAAACGAAGCCGTTTCTCAAACCATCGAGTCTAGCTTCGTCTTATGGCAAGTCTATGATCATACCAATGAAGGAAAGAAAATCTCTACTTTTTACAAAATCGAGTCTGCTCCTCCTGTTGTGCTCCTCATCGATCCAATCACAGGTCAGAAGATGCAAATGTGGAGCGGTGTGATTGAAGCTCAGAGTTTTGTCGAAGATTTGGACTTGTTTATGGAGGCAAGTCCCAATGAGTACATAGCTTCTCTGACAAGGATCACACACGTAGACATTGGCTCGTCAAGCAACAAAAACGACCAAGTCCCGGCTTCTTCTTGGGGTGAAGAGTTTGAAAAGGAGGAGACTTCCTCGTCAAGCAACAACATCAACAAAACCGTGGCTCCTTCTTGTGGTGAAGGGTTTGAAAACGTGGAGACTTGGTCGTCAAGCAACCTCTATGATCACACCGTTGCTCCTTCTTGGGGGCCCGAATTTGAAGAGCCTGCAGAAGTAGAGGAAGAGGAAGAAGAAGAGGAGGAGACTTGTTTACAGTTCCCAGATTTGACAGAAGAGCCAAAGGGAGACTGCGATCGAAGCATTGTGTGCAGTCTCTGCGTTAGATTTCCAGATGGGAGAAGAAAGCAGAGGAGGTTTCTCAAGAGCGAACCGGTTCAGCTTCTTTGGTCTTTTTGTTATTCTCTCATGGAGACATCAGAGAAAAAGGTATTCAAACTGGTACAAGCGATTCCTGGTGCTTCCAAGACTTTAGATTATGGAGCTAACATGACGTTTGATCAATCTGGGCTTGCTAATTCGATGATCTCGGTTACGTGGGAATGAAGATTTTGACCTGATCTTTCTTTTTTTTTTTAAAAAATTTTCTTATTCAAGTAATGAAGAAGAAAACTTTGCATTCTTATAATTCTATAAGTTTCTTCTTTTACGCTATGGGTACTGTAATTGGCAGAATAGCATTCTTCTCATAATCTATTGAGATTTAAACTTTTGTGGCTTATAATTTTTTTAATAAATGATTTTTATTTTCTATAACCATTTTCTTTCTCTTTCAATTTTCTTTTGTTGAAATGTTATTTTACTTAATCGACAAAAAGAAGAAGACACATTAGGTTCGTCAAGTCAAACTCCAAGCAGACAAAAAGCAAGGGAAACAGAGCATTAAGCGTGATAACAGAGAAGAGAGAAAACGGTAGCCAGATGGGATGGAACGAGCATTGTCGATTGCGTGGGTTAGGAGGAGAGCTGGACGAGGTGGTTTTTGGTGGCGACTTTTCTTTCAATTTTGCATGTAAGAAATTTAAAACCTATTACACAGTGATTAATTTATCCTGGTTGCAAACCACATTTGTAGCCCATCTTCATATTTCTTCCCATCCTGGCTCCTTGCGGTGCTTAATCGGTTTCTCATAGTAATGTCCATAGTTTTTAAGAGCTGGTGATAGGTACGATGTTCCTCACCATACCTTCTTTTATTTCTCTCACACCAAATCATCGCCATTTGGAAAGCATATCGCAGTATAAATGACTGAGTGGAGTTGCCTACCGAGTTGGTTAGAATGCTTAGAATCCCCGGCCAAGTAGTGGTGTGGTTTACTCCCAAGATGTTGTGTACCAGCGCGTCCCAGAATTTGCTAGTGTAGGGGCATTGGAAGAACATGTGATCTCTTGTTTCCGTCGGTTCTGGGCAGAAAGAGCATCACACATTAATATTTAGTTGCCATTTTCCCATCATTTCCCCTGTTGACAATCTGTTTCTTGCCACTAGCCAAGTTATAAATGCAAACTTAGGCGTTGCGTATTGAAACCAGATGCACCGGTGTGTCTCCCAAGGCTGGTTTGGTTCTCTCAATAAGCAATATATATCTTTTGAAACAATATTTGAATAGTTTCCATTCTTTCTTGCCGTATCAGGTACAAGTTTCAGCTTGATAGCTATATATTTCCTTTCTTAACTGGGTTTTTGAACCTCACATATAGCCCATCAGCTTGTGACTTCGCACTCTCAGTTTCGAGATTGGGAATCGACAGAACTGCCCTTTCTTAACTTAATTATAAAGGGTAGCTTAGCTGGTTAGATTTACTGAAGGTAATTCAATCGCTGAACGTTGATAATAGCTTTCGAGAAGAGATCCTGACTCTCCAGCTAGTTCAAACTTCCCCGATTAGTAATGCTCTCACCCTGGGGACATATTTCACCTTTGTCAGCAAAACAGTAGAACCATCTTCATTTCTCAGTCTCACACTTCCTATTCCCTTCACTGTTGACATGGTGTCATTTGCCATCTTTACTTGTCCATTACCAGCATCTGATAAACTCACAAACCATTCTCTTCTTCCGAAAGAACAACCTGTGTCAAGTATCTAGACTTCCCTTTGTTAGAAATTCCTAATTGAAAGTGAGAAGGGACCTACACTAGTATATAAAGCTTTCACCCTCTCTACTCATTGCCAATTGGTTTTGAGTTAGAAGTTCATGAACACTCACATGGTATCGAGAGCCATGGAGGGTTCTCTTGAGTCTTATCTTTTTCCTTCCACGGAGAAAAGAGTTGGAGTTTCAGATCGGTGATCAAGTCTTTGTCAAGCTGATCACTTACAAGAGTAAGGACCGGGCTGCTGCGACGGTCAGCCGAGGTACATGGGACCGTACAGGATCCTAGAACGGATCGGGCCGGTTGCTTACAAGCTGGAATTGCCACCAGCCTTGGTCGCATTCCACAATGTGTTCCATGTATCTCAGTTAAGGAAATGCGTAAGGAATGAGGATTCCGTTACATCCGAACCTCCACCGGACTTGCAGGAAAACTTGTCCATAGTGGGAAGGCCAATTCGGATTGTAGGCCATCGGGTAAAGGTTGTGGGCCGAAAGCAAGTTAAGATGGTTCAGGTTGTTTGGGATTGCGATGGGGAAGAGGAAACTACTTGGGAGCCGGAATCAAGTATGAAGGAAAAGTTTCCTAAGTGGTTTGAGAAGCAACCAAAACAGAAGAAAGAAAAGCCGAGGAAGAGTAGAGACTCGAGGATGAGTCTCACCATAAGTGGGGGAGACTTGTAACACCCGAGTTCGGGAAAAACTAAGAAAAGTCGGAAAAATGGGTTAAGTTGGGTGAAACTGGATTCAGTCAGGTGATTCCGAGCTAAGTCCAGCTTTTGCCGGGCTGAATCAAGTTTGGTCAAGCTGAGTCGAAGTGTTGCCGAGCTGAAATCAGCTCACCGCGGATTTCGGGAAATTTAGCTGGGAAATTCCGACAAGCCGAGTTTTTCGGGACTTGGTCGGAATTCGGACAGGGTGGGTCCGGAACAGACAACCTTTGTCGAGATCGGATGTGCACGGGAGCGGTTAGCGGGTAAAGACGCACTAAGGCGTGAGCGCGGGAACGGTTATGGATTTTAGCCAAGTTGGCGTTGCGCGGAAACGGTTATCAGTCGTGCGAAAGCACGCAGAATCTTAGCGGATCGTGCGGATCGTGGAAACGTGCGGAATGACGCGGGAACGGTTTCTGGGCGGTTTTCTGCGGAAAATCGTGGGAACGCCTATATAATAAAGGCTTCCGGACCATTTTTTCCCTTGGCGCGACCCAAAAGAACTCAGAAAAATTGAGAGAAATATTCTTAAGAGAAGTTAACCGAGAGAAAGTCTGTTTAGCCGAGAGCGATCGGATTCTGGCCGAGAGCGAGTGCTATTCTGGCGAGCGTGGTCCGGATTCTGCCGAGCGATTGTGGGAACGAGTCTGATCAATCGCGATTTCTGTCCTTACCGAATTCTGTCCGATAAAAGCTAAGGTGAGTGCGTGACCGTGGCCTGTTTGGTCGTATTCTTGCTTAGATTCTGGTCGGTTGCATGTTATTCTGTGCTTGTCATGACATTTCTGCTGGCTATGACGTGTGATCGATCCGCCTTATCGGCGATCTAGATCAGGCAAGGCGCTCACGGCTGTGATGCTCGCCGAGGCTTGTCTGGTCGTTGGATGATCGGTTGGGTAAATGCGTATGATCATCGCGGGTAGTTTTCTGTTTCTGATGAGCATTGGGCTCGATCTTTGTTTGATACGATTTTATTCTGGCTCGGTGAGACGGGATGACCGCTCTCACTAAGCAGTTCTATTTGCTTATGCCTCCTTTGTGGATGCATGTAAAGAGGTCTGATCAGCGCGCGAACTATGGCTGGATCGGGATGGATGGTAGGATCGAGTAGTAA